TTAAGCTTTGTTGTGATGTCCTGATGGTTCATTTGCGAAACTGCCTCTCACTTTTTTTTTGTAATCTTCATTGTTGAGATTGAAGTGGAAATCGTGTCTGCGAGTTTACGGCTCGGACCTGTGAATGTCAGTAAAGTATGAGTGTAACTTCCTGTTAATATTTTGCATACCAATGCTTGACATCTTCTCGGATAAGAAAGTAATGAGATTTTTAGTTTCTGTATTATGTGAGTTTTTCGGAAAGATGATTTTGATTGAATTATGATTTAGGAAAATCATCAAGGAAAACTGGGAGACGACTAAAACTCCGCGAGAGAATGTTATGCAGATGGGCCTAGCCTTCAGCCCAAATGAAGCAGTCCCACTGAAGCAGCCCCACGTAAGTTCTTTTGCATTTGTGTATCCTTGTGCTATTAACGGTTGTCTGTAGCGTGACATCATTGATCTGGAACCTGTGGAAGAAATGGATCTGGCTGAAGCGAGAGCATTGGGAACCGTAGAGGAACAGCGGCGGAGGAAAGAAGAAGAAAGACGTGCAGTACTCCGGAAGGAGAAGGTAGTATTTCCCGTTTGTTCTTTTTTTTTCTCAAAATCTTGTTTAACCGCTCTAAAATATGCCTAAATTTCAAGAAACTTTCAAGTTCATATTTCTTTTCTAGTTTTTAGTTCACACGATTTCGTCGCCTCGCGATTCTTCCGATAAGACAAGTGTTACAAGTCCACTGCATGTTGAAAACTTCGCATTTCATTCGCATTGTGATGGTTAAACTATCACGACCGAAATGCAGAAAGTTTGGCATGCAATGGACTCATAAAGTTGTCTTGCGGTGAAAATCGCGAGGCGATGAAATCGCGTGAACTATGCCCGAGGCATAGGCCATTTGCTGAGGGCATAACTTCTACGCTGTTGAATGTGTTGCCGAGCTCCAGCTGAAGTGATATTTGCAACAAATAGTCTGGATTAATATGACATTGTTGGTTCTCGGATTTGTAGGCCGTCAAAGTTGTGTCGACGTTAGAAACCGAGGCGCAACAATTACTCGCTGAAAGAGAATCGCAACCGCGAGCCGTTCGTTTACCAGATAGGGATGTTGAATTGTTGATTTATCTTGCTCAACGTTACGGTGAGGACTACAAGGTAAGTTTCAAATTATGTGCAATAAGTGCGTATTATTTGAATTCAATGATTCTATCTAGGCTATGGCTAGAGATCCGAAAAATTTGTTTCAATATACGCCAAAGAGGATAAATAATTTGATGAACATCTACAAGTCATCTGGTTTCTATAAGGTCATCGAAGGGAAGTGAATCTCTTGGATGAGAAATCTGTGTTGGTTTTGTTGCTGTTGTTGTTGCCCTTGATTGTTGCTGTTGTTGACTAGATTTGAACTCAGATTTTTGTTCTTTTGGAAGAAGTTGTGTCATGTGAAATATGTACAAATATTCATTCAAAGCTCGATAAAATCTGTAAACGAAAGGCTTCAGTTTCTGAATACAAAATTGGTTCACACTGCTATTGAGCGATATGATCTTGGACAAAAAAA